CTTGAGAAACTCTTAAGCTTATAGATAAAATATAGTATGTAAAATTACTTTTAATGAAAATTTTTAAGTCGAGATAATAAAAGAACTAAATTCTAAATTTGGAAGACTTATAATATTTCTGAATTAGATAGGAACTCATATTTTCATCTTTCTTAACATTAAAAATTTCTAAACTTTAAGTTGGTCTCATTTACTGAATATTTTTTCTAAATTGGACTACTATATTTCTAAATCTAAATTTTAGTAACTCCTAAAGAAACTCATATACATATCATACATATTTAGTTTTTAAAGATTGAAGTGTCACTTGAGGACAAGTAACATTTTAAGTTTTGGGGATTTTGATACGCCTAAAATATATAGTGTTTTTAAATATATTTTTATACTTATTTTTGATATATTGCGCTTTAATGAAAGATATTTTTGTGTTTTTCTTTCAGGTACATGTAAAAAGGTGAAAATTGCTTAAAGAAGTGAAAAATAATCAAATTTGAAGCAAATATGTGAAAAAATGTGCAAATGTGTTTTGGCGCCTAAGCGCCATATCCGGCGCCTAAGCGCCATATCCGGCGCCTAATCGCTAGTTAAACAGAGAAGGCCGCGCCTAAGCACCAGAGGCCCTGCGCTTAAGTACCAGTGACAGCTATTGGATGAGTAAATTTGGTTTTTGCTAATTTTGAAGAGGTTTTTGAGGCATCTATTGGCTTAATAGGTGCGTACAACCATCAGGGATAAAAATTATTGCGAAAGGATGCATCTCTTGAGGAAATACATTGAATCAAGACACATTTTGAAGAGATACCAAGGAACATTTTGGAGAATTACAAAAGAACGAAAATTGAGACTTTAAAAGCGGTCCAGAAAGTATTGGGAAAGTTTTGAAAGTTCAAACTTTGAGAAATTCTCAGGCACAACATATTTATCCTTTTTATTTTTGTTTTATATTGAGAGTGTTGTAAAAGATAAGAAATTCAAAAGAACTACAAGAGTTTGGTGGAGGACTTGAGATAAGTTTTTATCTTTTGTTTTAGACTACTTTTGGTTTTAATTGAGACTTGTTGTTGGTTTGACATTGATTTCTACTTTTAAATTAAAGTGTGGCTTTGTTTTCTCCATGGATTCTGAGTAGTTTTCTTTATCTTTATTCTTAAAATGATAAGAAATTAAGTGTTGGATGGAAGTTATGGAGAGTATTGATCCTTAATGTTGGAAGAAGTTGAGATGATTCAAATCCATCTACTTCATTTACTTCTTGATTTGGCCAATCCAGATGTAAAAATTTATTGTGAGAACATGTAAGGACCGGGCTGGTATTATCTCAGTCAACAATTGGAAAAAATCATATGAGGTTTTATGAATGAGAATGTAGTTCATATGATTGAGTGCAAATAAATAGGAAAATATTCATCGAAGGCTGTAGAGTTAGAGGACTTTAAAGTGACAGGTTAAAACCCCCAACTTGTTTTATTTTTTTAGGTTTTCATACGACATGTTAGTCCCTAGGTGGAGGGAATCGAGGGAACTCTAGAGTGATAGACACAGTACTTTAAGTAGGCCTTAGAGGTGTCGGTATTTCTCTGCGTTACACCCATATCCTGATGATAGACACAATACTTCATGGGGTCTTGGAGTTGAGCTCTAAATTTCATTGGGGTTGCTCTTTTGAAATAATATTTATTTTGAATGACATTCATATCTCAATCATTAAAACTCTTAACAAACTTATCTTGGGTACTTCATGGTTAGGCAATCGGTGTTCATTGTATTGAGCCGACTATTTGTCAGGCATGTTCTATAAAGTTCCCTGTGGTCTCGAAGTGTTCAAGCACTTCATAGCAAGGACGAACGAAAATGCCTGAAACATGCCTTGGTCTCAACCTTTCTCCTCGAGGGGCACTTTTTTATGGTCGAAAAGTGGACAACTCTACTATGGAGGAAACAAGTTTTGAGTTATACTCTTAAGGTGATACATAGTTTTTGTCTAGATCTAAAAACTCAAAAATTATTTTCAGTCGTTACTGACTCAAGGGTCCTTCTTTCAGGTTTTGAGTTAGAGTGGCATGAGCTACTGTGTGCTTAAGATCCCGAACTTCTAACATCTCCTTCTGTAATCATGTGATGAACAAGCAAAGGCTTCTGTTTATCCCAATCAAATCTGCAGCAAGGCCGAGAGGACTCTTCAAATGCAACTTCTCTTTCCAAAGTCGGGGGGACTCTTTGGCCATTGAGCATCTACTCTTCCTCTCAGCACTGTTTCTCTCTTCCCCGAGTCAGTGCATCTTGGGTGGCGTCCATCCCTTGATCCTTCACTCCTAGATCTGCTAGTTTGCAAACTCACTTGTGCACTCCATGTTGTTTTTGTTGGGGGTTTTTTTCTCTATGGGCTACTACTCTTTTTGTTAGTGGCATGATCTACACTCAACACTCCTTTTAGAATGTTCAAGTTTGATTTCCTCGTGAATCACATCTAAGGAATATAACGTAAAGCGAGAGAGAGAGAGACGGAGGGAGAAGTGAATAGTAAAATATTTTATCAATCATATCTTATTCATAAGACGATCTCCCCACTTAGAGGGGCGAGGGTATAATGTTGTGATGTTATATTATTACTCATACTTTAAAGGGGTTTGTCTAGGATGTTATTGGTACTTTACATGTAAAAGCTTCTTGCTTCACTACCCTTTAAATTAGCCAACTAAGCTCAATTTGGACTATCTCGATCAACTTAGATCTGCTTGACTAGATGAGATCAACTCGGTCGGATGACTTTGGTTAGAATGAGTTGGTCAGTTGATATGATCTGACTGTCGATCCTTCATCCCTAATGATGGGCTTCTGGATATCTCTAGGTGGTTGAAGATGTTAAGAAATCAAAACTTACATGGATTTGCTTGTTCTTATATCCTCTAGTCGCCTCTGGACTATCTTACAGTTCAACCGGCTTTAGCGGTCGGCTTTAGCCATAATCTTTTGTTGGCGGGACTCCATCATTCGCTCTTCTTTTGAACTGTTAGATCTCTTCAAGATCAATGTTGGTGTGAGTCTGTGTGTGTGTGTGTGTGTGTGTGTGTACACACACATGTAAGATTGGTTAGATAGTATTAGTTGAGCCTCTCAATCAATCTCAAACTGTTGATCCAGGTAGTACAAACTTTGTTTTATATAAATTGATTTTTAAAGGTCGCACATTATATTTGCCGATCCCTATGAATGTTAATCCCCGGTACTCCGAGTGGCAAGAGACGCTCGCCAACTCACCAACACCGATCTTCTGTGAAGTTCTCACTTTTCTTCTTCCCCGCTCCTATCAAACCAGCAATCACCACGCTCACTCGGATTCTCGTACTGATTCGAATTAAGCTTGTGCGGAAGGGGAAGCAAGAGATATGGCAGTCGCCGATGACAGGGCGGGGTCGTCAGATGGAAAAATCTGGGGTTTATGCCCGATTCCATTCTGGCAGACCGGCTCTTCTAGTGCCGGAGGTGGCGGTGGGAATTCTTCGACGAACTCCTCGTCGTCTTTGACCCATCATCAGCACCATCTTGGTGTTGGTCAGGTCGCCGGGGCTTTGGGGTCTAGAGCGCAGCATTCTTCCGGTGGCAGCTCGGTCTCTTCGGTGGCGAAGTCGATTTTCCCGACGCGCCGCCGACTTCGGCTCGATCCGCCTAATAAACTTTACTTCCCATGTTAGTGAGCTGGTTTTGGAGGGATTTCGAAATGGTTTTTTAATGATGCATGAAAGATCGGGTTTTAATGAAACGTTTTTAAAAATATTTGGTTTTCCATGCACGATCATTTTGTTTATTTGATTGTAGGTTCTCGAGTTTACTGAATTGCTTTAAACGCGGTCAGTGGAATCTCTTTTATTTTGTTTGTTTGCTCAGTGGTAGCTCTTTTATTTTGGTGTTGTTAGGACTTAGGTGAATGCGGTGCTTTGTTGAATTGTCAGGTTTGGTTCTTGGTTCATTGAAATAATCAAGTGGAATTCTTAGACTATGAGCTTAAACTGTAGAGCATCACATTTATTTTGTTCTTTTTGGTAATTTTTTGTTTTTGGAAGTGTTATGTCTTAATTTTTGGATTATCAGTCATCTTGGTTTTACTTTTTGTGGAACTGTTATTTGGTTTAATCATTGGATTTAGTGAATAATCTATAAATTTTGCTAAACTTGCATACAATATCACACCCTTTGTAATGGTTGAATTCTTATCATTGCTTCTGTTGTGTGTAACTTAAGCATCTCAATTAGTTTCCCGATTGCACACTTACCATGACATAGTGGTTGAGTTTTTACTTTCCCGCCATGATGTCACATATTTGAATCACATATATTGCCCTTTGGGCTCAATTTTTCCAGAAAAAAAAAAAAGTTCCTAGATTAATCATGCCTCATTTTTAATATTTTCTACTACTAGATTAGTGTTTGATTTGTATACTACATGTTTGAATATGAACAGGGTCAGTTGCTTTGTGATAATTTTATAGCCTCCATAATAATTTTAAAGGGTATATACTACCCAATTCTTATGCATTTACATTTCTTACACCTAAACTATAATTGCTACATTTATACCATCCAAATCTTTCGTATCACATAAAAAATACCACCATTTTAACTTTTAAAAAGTTAAATACACCTTTGCATGCTTAGGAAAGGTGTTTGTAAAAAATTAAATATAGGTGCTAGATATGCTAAATAAGAAAGAATTGATTGGTATACATATAAATTTTTCTAATTTTAATAGCTCTTTTATTTATATTTTTTTATTTTGCTACTTAAATTTTTTTATTTTTTCAATTTTAGGTTTCAGTTTTCTTTTTGTGATGGTTTTTTTAAGGTTGGAATTAACTATTTGTCGTTTAAATTGAAGATGAACCTGGCAAGCAGGTTAGAAGTGCAATCAGAATAAAGAATACTAGCAAATCCCATGTAGCGTTCAAGGTAACTGCAGTGGTTTTGTTGTTTAAAATATTTTGTGTGGTTACATTTTCTGTATCTACAAATTGTTAACATCTGATTTTATTTTTCTTTTACAGTTTCAAACAACTGCACCGAAAAGTTGTTTTATGCGTCCTCCTGGTGCAATACTTTCTCCAGGAGAGAGTATTATATCAACTGGTATTATACCTTTTTTTGGAGAACATGCATTTATGCACCCAATTTCTATGTGTTTACATGTCTAGCATCTAAACATTATTTTCTTACATTTATACCACCCCATACTTTCATATCACATAAAAAATACCATCATTTTAACTTTTAAAAAGCGAGATACACCTTTGCATACATAGGGAATGTGGCATTTTTTGTAAAAATTGAAGTTTAGGTGTTAGATATGTAAATACATAGAATTGAGTGGTATGTATGTCAATCATCCTGTTTCGGCTTTTTTTTCTTAAACTTGGTTCTTTTTCTTTTTAATGTGCATGTTATCATTATAAACATCATAATAATTATCCTGGTGGTTGGCTTTCTGAATCCTTTTCTACATCTCATTCCTAGTAACCCATTTATACCTGTTTCTTCGGACTTCAGTTCTTTATCATTGATTTATGAACAAAGAACTGTAATGCAACCGCATTGATTCTTCATCTATAATTTAAATTCACAGTTTTCAAGTTTGTGGAGCATCCAGAGAACAATGAGAAGCCATTGCTTGATCTGAAAAACAAAGTTAAATTTAAGATCATGAGCTTAAAGGTGAAAGGGCCCATGGAATATGTTCCAGAGTTGGTAAGTCTTTCCTCATTTATGTTTTGTAAACAGATGATCTTTGCTGGGGACCTCTCCTAAGTGGAGATATGCTTTATATTGTCTTTACATTTGATAGTAAATTATCCAATTCATAGCTATATAACGTGTAAGATTTACTATATATATATATATATATATATATAGATAGATCAAAGCAGAATTGGACCAACATGACTTATTTAACTTTGAAGTTCTTAACAAAGGTTTATCATAAGAATGCTTGTGGGTTGTTAAGGTTTATCATAAGAATGTTTGTAGGTTATTTTGTTGCACGGTTAAAACGCAAAGAGCTACTCTTAAAAGAGTAAAAGATTCAGGGAAATTGAAGGGTGCTTCAGGGAAATTGAAGGGTGCCTTCTGCTTTTAGGGTAAGAAGATGAAGGACCGGATGGTGAAAAAGATAATATTTGGTTTCTCTTTCTGAAAATACAGCCATATACTCCACTCTTACTCTATTTCATGTACCCAAATAACTAAATTTTCAATCCAAGGTTGACAGTGGAGTCAGTGGACTGCCATTTAGCTAATTAGAAAGTGACTTGTGATACTTATTCTATACCCGCACCGCTACCCTGTTGACCTCATTTTTAGTGAGGTCTTAGTCTCCTACTCCCATAACCCAAAATCTAGCCTTAGGAGTTCTTATTGATCATCTTAGCAAATTAGTAATGGAGCCCACCTCACGTAGAACTTCAAACCACTTCTTGACTCATTTTTGTGAAGAACTCGCATGAGTGGTTCCAAGCACTCAATTTCTAGTGACAAAGGCTGAGGACCAACATGTAGAGGGCCCGATTCTTTCCACATATTTTCCACATCCTATCCCTAAACTTTCTGCATGCATGATATTTCCTAAATTTTGGTGTAAATCCCGTGTGGTGGCAGTCTCCAAATTTTGGCATAAATCCCACATGGTGGCCCCGTACTTCCTTATGGTGGCCCCGTACTTCCTTTCCCCGTACTTCCTTTCTCAAAATGGTCTCCTCACTCAATTAAATTCACAACAATCAAACAACGCAAACATGTGACGAATTCCTTCATCCCCAGCGGAAACATTTAAAAATCTTCAGTAAGCTATTGTCTTTGGATTGGGAATCCCTTAGTGGAAAATCCCTTAGTGGAAAGTCTTTTGACTTTGGATCAATTCATTCTGAGTATGGTGTACTTAGATGGTTCTTTTGATCGTGTTTCTGAGTATGGTGTACTTAGATTAGATGGTTCTTTTGATCGTGTTGATTACTTCGGTCAACACCAATACGCGCAGTGTGCTTGTTTAGCACACCACACCTATTGGGGTCCATTTGTTGACCTCATTTTTAGTGAGGTCTTAGTCGTGAGGCTCATTTTTAGTGAGGTCTTAGTCTCCTACTCCCATAACCCAAAATCTAGCCTTAGGAGTTCTTGTTGACTATCTTAGCAGACTAGTAATGGAGCCCACCTCACGTAGAACTTCAAATCACTTCTTGACTCATTTTTGTGAAGAACTCGCATGAGTGGTTCCAAGCACTCAATTTCTAGTGACAAAGGCTGAGGACCAACATGTAGAGGGCCCGATTCTTTCCACATATTTTCCACATCCTATCCCTAAACTTTCTGCATGCATGATATTTCCTAAATTTTGGTGTAAATCCCGTGTGGTGGCAGTCTCCAAATTTTGGCATAAATCCCACATGGTGGCCCCGTACTTCCTTTCTCAAAATGGTCTCCTCACTCAATTAAATTCACAACAATCAAACAACGCAAACATGTGACGAATTCCTTCATCCCCAGCGGAAACATTTAAAAATCTTCAGTAAGCTATTGTCTTTGGATTGGGAATCCCTTAGTGGAAAGTCCCAACTCAAATTTGATTTTGACTTTGGATCAATTCATTCTGAGTATGGTGTACTTAGATGGTTCTTTTGATCGTGTTGATTACTTCGGTCAACACCAATACGCGCAGTGTGCTTGTTTAGCACACCACACCTATTGGGGTCCATTTGTTGACCTCATTTTTAGTGAGGTCTTAGTCTCCTACTCCCATAACCCAAAATCTAGCCTTAGGAGTTCTTGTTGACTATCTTAGCAGACTAGTAATGGAGCCCACCTCACGTAGAACTTCAAATCACTTCTTGACTCATTTTTGTGAAGAACTTGCATGAGTGGTTCCAAGCACTCAACTTCTAGTGGCAAGGGCTAAGGACCAACATGTAGAGGGCCCGAAAATGAGTTCCTATAGGATCAAACGGCCTTAGGTGAACCCTTTGTGACTCGATTACTCGTGAACGCCGCAATTCACGCACTCACTGCACCACACACGACTTTGATTTTAATCGACTCGCCCGTCGACGAACTTGTCCGGATGACCCCAGATGACGAAACGGACCGCACAGATGCATTCAAGACATCGAATTTAGCTAAGAAGGACACCCGCATTGTTATGGTGTGCGCGCGAGCGACTAGCATGGATATCGATGCATTTTTTTTTTAGCGGTGCGCGGGCCTGGGCTCAATCCAGGTCCGACTCGGGTTCGATTCAGGCTGGACATGGGCTAAGCACGGGCTAATTACTTCAGCTCAGAAATTTCAAAATTCAAAATTTAAATTTTAAATTTATCATTTAATTCCCCCGATAAAGCTTTTCCAATTAAGCTACTGCAGGTATTCAATTCCCCGCCCAACGCAGCTTAACGGTTATTGGAATTCGAGGGATAGAAAACTCGCTCGGGCTCCTCCTTGGAGATTCGGCTCTCCCGCTCGCCTCATCTGCTCCTCCTCTGGTTGGCCCTGCTCGATCGCACTCCTCCGCTCACCTTCTCCCCCTCTCTGCCTCACGCACCGAGACTCGCTCTCCTCCCTCTGTACCGAGACCTTCACCTGCCTCGCCTCCCCCTCGCCTCGCGCTGAAAACCTCTCTGAACCGAAGCTGCTCGCCTCTCGTCTCCTCACGCCAAACAGCCCCGCAACGCTCGCCTCCCTCTCTCGATAGAAATCCAGCTCGACTCATCTACCCCCCCTGCCTCTGCACCGAGATCGATTTGTCTCCTTCCTCTGGCGCTCGACCGAAGATCGGTACTCCTCTCTACACCGAAAGCCGTCGCCCTTCTTCCTTACGTAAGAGAAGCTTTATTCGACTCCATCGCAACCCTCGCCTACTTCGACTTACTCCCGCTCGACTCACCATCTCTCGGCCGAAGGTCGGATAGGGCTCCCTCTTTTCTCTCGACAGAAGCTTGACTGCTTGCCCGCCTCCATCTTCCCCGCGATCAAAACAGTCACTTGACCTCCTCTCTTCTCTACATCGAAGAACACTCGCTTGCCTCCTCTGCTTTCTGCGCCGAAGATCCCCTCTTTAACTCTGCTTTCTGCGACGAACTTCAGCCAGGTAACCCGGTGCCTCTTTTCTATTCCCCTTCGCATACATGCAAGATAAAAAAAAAGTCTCGTTGTTTCAAACTTCCTGTTATTTTCAGTCATCATCAAGTTAAAAATATACTGTGATTCCCTATGGGTCATGTGCTTGCTATGCTCAAATGAGATAATTAAATTGATGCATTCAATCTCTTTCACAAGCAGCTGCGTTTGAACATGACTTCGGGCTTTAAAATCTACTTTATACTAATGGTAGCCCAAACTGATACATGATTGTAGATATATATATATATATATATAAATATATATACCATACTATTATATGTTAAGGTTAAATCCTGAATTACGTTCGTTAACTTAGAGGGTGAGATTAACTTTACATGTATCCACATTTACCGTATGATTGGGAAAGTAGAATTCAGATGGTACTAAGTTTTGTTGTGAAACAAAATATTTATGAATGGGCAGGGAATTTAGTTGCGGAGAATTCACAATTGCTCACTATTTGTTTATCACCTTCATCTGAAATTATGAATATATTGTGAAGTATTCAGCGAACAAGGTGTTTATATCATAGTTCTTGATTTGGGAAGTATTTACATGCATACCTCTCACAACTTATGTGCGCATATCTAACACTTGAACTCCAATCTTTGTTGCATGCATATATTATCTTACCTATATTTGGAATAAGGTGTTTATATCATAGTTCTTGATTTGGGAAGTATTTACATGCATACCTCTCACAACTTATGTGCGCATATCTAACACTTGAACTCCAATCTTTGTTGCATGCATATATTATCTTACCTATATTTGGAATTCATGTGCAAGCATTTATGCAGATTTCATCCATGAAATGATTTCACTTGGAAAACATATGAATTTTTTTTTTGTCATTTCTATTGAAATACCTATACAAACATTGATGATGGTCTCGTCTGGAATAGTTTGAAAGTTTTAAAGTTTGTCATTGCGATAATATGAAAAATTTGAACAATCTTATTTATGAAGATTTTGGAGACTTACAAATGCTGTTTTGAAACAGTTTATGTATTATTTTGGTGTCTTTAAATGCAGACTTTGTGCCCATTTAATTGCTGATTTTGGAGCCCTTAAACACATTGTTTATGGTTGGTTTACCTACTGTTTTTGGAGAAATGTACGTAGCATTTAGGTGTTGATTTCCTTTAAATACACGGTTTATGAGACTATTTAGGGGCTAGTTGGGTTGCACTTCTTGGGTCCGTCTAGTGGCTTGGGGGCTTGATTCTATTTCATGGTTTTTTGTCCACACCTTTTTGTCCGCATTTTTCTGAGTCTATTTGGTGACTTTTGGACATCTCTTTTTCTTACTTAAGTGGAAAAGTTTTGAGCCGATCAAAACACTGTATTGCAACAAACTTAAGCATTCTTCGCGAGAGTCTATTTAATTACAGTTGTTGAAAGATTTTAAACATTTTTAGGTTGATTCACGTGTTATTTTTCTATTGGATTTGTTAGTTTTGGAAGTGGGTCAACCTTCTCTTTTAGTTCGTTTTGTTATTTTTGTTCAATGGTTAAGTCATAAAGATGGGGATTGATGATTTAATTAATTGGAAGATATAGAAAACCTTAAATCACCTTAA